ACAAATTAACCGCAGCATAAATTGTTGTTGCTGTTATTATTATTATTATTGGTTTTTATTTATTTATTTTGGGGATTATTTTTATAAAAAGGAATGACTAAGAACTTAAATTATTATTATTATTATTATTAGAGTTTATTTTTATTGAAAAAAGAATTAGTTAGTTGTTTCACACATTACCTTTAGTTTAACATTTCACCAACTTAAATTATTGTTACTATTATTAATTTTTTATAATAAAAATGCGGCAACATAAATTATTATTATTAGTAGTAGTAATAGTATTAATAATATTCTAAATAAAGACTCTTAGTTGTTTTACACATTAGTCTTAGTTTTAAAAAAGCAGCAACATTATTATTAGTAGTATATTAGTATATTATTATTTTTTATGGGTTTATTTTGATTAAAAATTACTATTAGTTGTTTCACAAATTACTTTTAGTTAAAAATTTTAGCAACTTAAATTCTTATTATTATTGTTATTAGGTTTTTATAATTAAAATGCAGGAACATGAATTATTATCATTATAATTATTATTATTATTATAATTAAAGAATTACTCTGAGTTGTTTTACACATTTCTCTTTGTTTAAAAATCAGCAACATAAATTATTATTATTATTATTATTATTATATGGGTTTATTTCTATTAATAATCTCTGAAAAGGTCTTCACTCTTATAGTTATAGAGGTTTTTATAATTAAAATGCAGGAACATGAATTATTATCATTATAATTATTATTATTATTATAATTAAAGAATTACTCTTAGTTGTTTTACACATTTCTCTTTGTTTAAAAATCAGCAACATAAATTATTATTATTATTATTATTATTATTATATGGGTTTATTTCTATTAATAATCTCTGACAAGGTCTTCACTCTTATAGTTATAGTTGTTTTCATGAAGCCAGACTGTTCTAAATGGGGAGACAAGCTTTTGTTTTGCAAAATTGCTCAATAACACAATCTTTTTCCTTCAGAAGGTCTGGGATTTCCTAACTGTTTACAGACTGTAAGTGTTTATGGCTGCAAATATATTTGTAGGTGTCCCAGATGATCCCTGTGCTATATTTCTGTCTATAAAGAACATATCTTTGTTTGCTGGACAGTGGCACTTCCTGTTTACATAGTGGCCTGCTGTCTGCTCATGTTTCCAGTGGGGCATGAAACACTGGCTTTATTCTCTTTAGTTGGTTCAGTCTCTCAGGGGCTCCTCCGTCTCATAGCTGTTAAGTGCCCTTGATGTGTTTTGGTTTGTTCATGTGGGTTACGTTCTGTTGAATATCTCTTTTACAGCAGATTTTTCACTTCTTGTTGAGAGCCAGTGACCAAAATGCACGGGTTATTCTTACGTGCTGGAAAAACTGAGCATTTAGAAAACAAAACAGCATAAGATTTTGCTGCGTAACGGGCACTTGGGCAGATTATTGCTGTGACAAATGAGCGTGTTGTACACATGAGCTGATGTTTTGTTCTGTGTTTGTGCTTTCGCAGTGACTAAGTCGCCATGTTCGCCGCCAGAGAGGCGTGTGAGTCGCAGCACGCAGTCCTGCGGCTCCTTTTCCATCACGCCCTTCACCACAAGCAAGGAGAATCTGCCTGTTCTCAACACGCGCATCATCTGTCCCGGTACGACCGCATCTTTACTCTGCTGCTGCTGACCGGAAAACATCCAAAAGTGCAATTTCTGTCATCGTTTATTCACTGTCATGCTGTTTCAAACCTGTGTGACTTTCGTTTTTTCCACTGAACACAAAAGGAGATGTTGCTGCTCTTTTCCGTTTAGTGAAAGTGAATTGTGATCTGTGGCTGCTTTTAAAAAGACCATTAAGGATTCATAAGTGTAGTCCAGAAGTCTGCAGAATGCTTGTAAAAAAGAATTGTATTGAATGTGCGCTTCAAGTAGTGTACTTCAAATCTTAAGTATAATAAAAAAAAAATTATAACATATTAATTAAATAAAAGCACAATAAAGTGTACTTAAAAAGAGCACACTTTCATGACACTTAAGTACACTTTTAAGAGTGCACTTTGTAATAATGTCAGTTAAAAGTACTAATCACAAAAGCACATAGAAATTACAGTCTATTGTCTATTATTATAGAAATGATTGTCTATTTTAGTATACCGTAATTACATTCTGCAGTACATTACAATAATATTTCAAAAACACTAGAAATAATTAGCAAATTACATGTAACCATGTACTGTCTAACTTAAGTGGATCAAAAAACACTCAAAATTTCAGCCAATTGCACTTAAATTTAAATAAATTTAAACTATAATACATTTTCATTTAATTGCAATTAACATGTAGTTAAGTGTCCAAACATTCAGTTCTCTCTTAAGTATATTGTTTTAAAGAATAGTTTTTATTTCCATAAAAGTATGTTAAGTTGTACTTTTGAAAACTGGAAGCTTTTCTGTGAGGAACAAACCAAAATTTCGATTTTTATTTGCTGAAAATAATAGAAATAATAATCCTAGATTTCAGTCGGTTTCTCACACAAAGCTATCATATGACCTCAGAACACTTTGAATATAGCGCACAATATTTATGATTTGGAGCTTCTGACACCTTTAATCATGAATATTCTGCAAAACATCTTCTTTTGTGTTTCACTAAAAAGAAAGTTAAACGGTAAAAACAACAAGATGAGTAATCAATAATAGACTTTTCATTCAAATAAAAAAAGTTTTAATTATGGTTTTTCTGATTTGAAATCTTCAGGTCTGCGGGCAGGTCTTGCTGCCTCTATAGCTGGAAGCTCCATAATCAGCAAGATGCTGCTTGCCAATATTGATCCCTTTGGTGCAACACCCTTCATAGATCCTGACCTGGACTCTCTGTAAGAGCTTCGGTTTCCTTTTTCTTGTTTAAGTTTATTTTGAATGTATTCGTAAAACTTACACAAGTCATTTCTCTCACAGAGAGGGCTATTTGGAGAAGTGTGTGATGAATAACTACTTTGGGATTGGGTTGGATGCAAAGATCTCACTGGAGTTCAACAACAAGCGAGAGGAGCACCCAGAGAAATGCAGGTAGTTCAGGATATCAGCATAGTCTTATTTCATATACTGCATTTACCAAAACACCACTGACTAGGACTCAACGGTTGACTAGTACTTCTTTCACTGTCCAGAAGTCGCACTAAAAACATGATGTGGTATGGAGTTCTGGGGACGAAAGAGCTTCTGCAGCGGACCTACAAGAACTTGGAGCAGAAAGTTCAGCTGGAGGTGAGACGAATGAAAGCCATTTACCACTAATAAATAAAATATATATATATTTATTATAAATACATACATTTTTTTTTTTTTTTTGAGGTAACCCTAATACCACAATTTGGGATTGAATAAAGCATTAAACATTAAATGAGCATAACTATTACATAAATAATAAAAAAATAATAATAATTTGTAATACAACAACAAATAATAAATAATAACAACAAAAAACAAGATACATATTAATAGGTTGTAACTATTATTTCACATAAATAAAAAACAAAAGATTAGTCTGATAATTTGTTTGCTCAATAACTTGGTAACAGGGTTGAAAAATATGTGAAAAATTGGATCTAAATGATGGTACATCATAAATGTCACAATACAGTATATGAAATGTTCTCTTGTTTCTTTTAACAGGAGGAAAATTGTGCGGTAACAGGGTTGACATTTGATGTTGTAAAGTACTTTTATGTTAAATAATAGTTTATCTTACATATCTAGTACTGTGGTGCCCAACCCCCTTCATTGTCCCATATTCAAAGGCCCCATGCCCTTTTTCCAGTTGTTTGTGATATTTTTTTACTCACAATTGTGACCTGATAAAATATTTAAGCGTTTGGCATAACTAGAAAAACATTGCCACAGAGATTTTATTAATATACATGTAATGACTTTTCCAGGTCTAGAAATTGCAGTTAAATTTAATTCAAATTAAGCTTCTTGAAAGTTTGGTCTAGTAGTTTTTATTTTCAGGAACAACAGACTTGTGCCTTGATTTGTGCTTTAAAAAAAGTAGCGGACACTAGTTGCTGCAATATTTGTGGAAAGTGCCAAATGTTGCCAAGCCTGAACAACCAACAAATGGTTTGATTTAACTGATTTAACGACAACAGCTGCTGGAACTGAACGTCTGAAGCAGTTGTGGGTCAAACGATTGCGTTGGCCGTCGACCGCTGTCCCAGTTTCAAGTTCAGGGCTCCTCATGGCTGTGTGATTGATTCTGCAGTGTGACGGCCAGTACATCCCACTCCCCAGTCTCCAGGGAATCGCTGTGCTGAACATCCCCAGCTATGCCGGGGGAACCAACTTCTGGGGCGGCACCAAAGAGGATGACGTAAGTCATGCTGCTAGAGGTCATGAAGGGCTTTTCTTATCAAACAGCATTTCCATCCTGGCTCTGAGCTGTTCAGCCCTTAGACGTCAGTTAAAGGGATAGTTCACCCCAAAATAAAAATTTGTTTCTTCAGTAGAACACAAACGAAGATTTTTAACTCAAACCGTTGCAGTCTGTCAGTCATATAATGGAAGTCAATGGGAATCACGGCTTTGAGAGTCAAAAAAACATACACAAACAAAACCAAATTAAACCCTGCGGCTCGTGACGATACATTGATGTGTAAAGACATGAAACGATCGGTCTGTGCAAGAAACTGAACAGTATTTATATCGTTTTTTACCTTTGATTCACCGCAATGTCCGAACTCTCCTGAGCGCGTTCTCAACAGCCGGCGCATGACGCGTCTTCTTCTTCTTCTTCTTCTTGCTTTACGGCGGATCACAGACTTATAAGTGCATTACCGCCACCTATCTCTCAAATGGACCATTGACACTTCTAATTGAGATTGTAGATAGAGTGTCAATGGTCCATTTGAGAGATAGGTGGCGGCAATGCACTTATAAGTCTGCGGTCCGCCGTTAAGCAAGAAGAAGAAGAAGACGTGTCTGAGAACACGCTCAGGACAGTTCGGACATTGCGGTGAATCAGAGGTAAAAAGCTATATAAATACTGTTCAGTTTCTTGCACAGACCGATCGTTTCGCAACACATTTTTGGGTGAACTATCCCTTTAAGAGTTGAGAGTGAGAGAAATATGATACCATGTAGAGAGGAAATTATGTAGAGTTGTTTAATTAAGAGGATGAGCAGGCCCTGTGTTGACTGATGTTGTTTAACGTGCAGCTGGCTCTGAACAAAACCTTTTGAACCCAGAGTGACACGGGTCTTTGTTCGCAACAAGTGGCCTTTTGGCATCTGGTTTGTTTTAGCTCACAGGGCCTCGTTCAGAATGAGGTTACCTCCGGACACAAGGTCTGGTTACAGAAGGGCAGAGTGCAGAAGATGCTTAGATGCCTGTGATCTTGGACAGGACAGTCGAGGACTCCGTTGAGTAGCTTTTTTAGAAATGGAAGAGAGTTTAACACTGTAAAGTCTGACATATGAAATAATAGTCTGAAAAATATGTTTTGTTTCTAGTGGAATTGTTTATTGAGCCTTTAGACATAATCTAAGAATAAATAAATAAATATATCAAGTTTGCTTACATCATGCTTTTATGACTCATAAAGTATAATGTAGTAAGAATATGGAGCTCACACTCGAGGAGGGAAAAAAAAACTCTTGTTTCATTCAGACGCCCAAACTGAACAAAAATATGAAATTTGTTGCAGATGTTGTTATATGTATATGCCCAAAAAGTAAAATGAAATGTTGATAGCTTGTAATGCAAATCGATGAAAGCTTTTTAACAGTATAGCAGACTACTTAAACACTGTAAAATGCTTTTAAATATCTGTTGTCACGCTATATCTCCCAATAATATGTCTTAGTAAGGTTATATTTAAATGTTCAGTTTTATGATCAAAGTCTGTAGTTTTTATTATGGAGGCAAAATATATAATGCAGGGCAATACATTGATAATTGAGAGATACAAAGAAATGTTCTTCAAAAGCTTCAAAATGTTTGCTCATATTATAATATGATTTTTCTAAAAAATGATGTATGGATAATCAAGTAAAGTTGATTTATCAAGTTAAGTATCTTAACTTGCATCTTGAAATATTACTTATAATGTAAACGTTGTTCTTATTATAAAAATCAGTAAATATTTCACAGCAAAAACACATGTACCAAGACCTGAAAGGGAACATTTTTACGATTATAATCAAATGTCTTTTACTTGCTAAAAATATAAACTATCAATCAGATGACAGAAAGCATGTAGTAGATTGTGTACAAGAGTTAAATAAAAATTTTGATAAGAGGCCTTAGAAATGTGTGTATCAAATATGATTGGCTTTATAGAGTTAATAGTTTTTTAGGAGAAATTGTTTTGTTTTGTGAATCTTGAGGGTGAGCCTGTAAGGAGCCCCCTTGTGGTGGTGAACTATTTTTACCATTATTGTTTTTTTGTCTTTTTGTGCAGATATTTTGTGCCCCTTCATTTGATGATAAAATTTTGGAAGTGGTCGCTGTGTTTGGTAGTATGCAGATGGCTGTCTCAAGGGTGATCAAACTGCAGCATCACCGTATTGCACAGGTAAACACACCTCACACATGAATGACTCAGATCTGTAAAGGATGTGAATAATGATGATAGAGTGTGTAACTCACCTCATCCCTCCCAGTGTCGCACGGTGAAGATCACCATCCTGGGAGATGAAGGAATGCCGGTCCAGGTGGATGGAGAAGCCTGGATTCAGCCTCCTGGAGTCATCAAGATTCAGCACAAGAACCGGGCCCAGATGCTGACAAGAGACCGCGTGAGTGTTTCTAGGGAAGAATCGTGATTTGGGGAATTTATTTCCACAATATTACCATAAAACAGGGGATTAGAACAGTTTAATGAATAATTTGTCTAAAATGGCTTCATTAACACTAATGTTCAAAAGTCTGAGATCCTTAAGATTTTTAATGTTGTTGAAGGAAGTCTCTTCTGCTCAGTAAGACTGTGTTAATTTGATCAAATATACAGTAAAACAGTAATATTGTGAAATATTAAATTTAAAATAATTATTTTAAAGATTCATAATTGTTAAAACAGTCACGCTGTTCAATATTTTTGTGGAGACGGTAATTTATTCTTTAGGAGTCTTTGATGAATCAACATTTCAAAAGAACAGCATCTATTAAAATATATATATATATATATATATTAGTGGTGTCAAAATTAGCACGTTAACGCAGGCGATTAATTTTTTCAGTTTAACACGTTAAAAATATTTAAC